AATTTAATTTTTATTATTTTTTGTGCATGTACCGTCAAATCAGATCTGACTGGTACAGGAGGAGATTGTCTCTCCTTCTCCAGCAAAGCATCTGGTGATTTTGAACCATGCACCTGTGGGATTGTAGTGCAGCTTCTTGCCACTAGGCCACCAGAGCTCCCTTATGTTCAGCTTTTTGAGGAAACGACAAACTGCCTTCCAGAGGGGTTGTGCCATTTTATAGTTGCACCAACAATGTATAAGAGTTCCTATCTCACCACGTCCTCTCCAACATTTATTATTTGCTGTCCTATTAAACTTTGCCACTGCTACTGGAGGTAGATGGTATCTCATTGTGGTTTTGATTTGTGCCTCTCTTATTGCCAGTGATTTTGAGTATTTCTTCATGTCTCTGTTGGCCATTCAGATATCTTCCTCTGTGAAAGGTTTTTCATGTCTTTTGCCCATTTTGTAATTATCAGTCTTTTTCTTGTGGAGGCCCTGCAGGATATTGTAAGCTTTTGTTATGAGACCCTTGTCTGAGATCGTGTTGCCAAATGATTTTTTCCCCAGTCAGTCAATTTTCTTTTCGCTGTGTTGGAAAATATTTTTTATGTACTCAGGTATTTAATCTTTAGAAGGCCCCATTTATCAATTTATCCTCTCCAGGTTGTGCGTGTCTGACTTTATTTGTCAGCGTTTTTATTCCATGAGCTAGGCCGCCTAAGCTTGGTCCTACCTTATCACTTATGATCTTTATGTAGACTAGAAGGATTCTTAGGTAACTGTGACTGGTACCAGCCTAAAAGATAAATGAGCAGCTTAAAAATAAACCTTGTTGTGTGTTCACTTTAAAATTAAGCCTGTGGGAATTAGATGGCCTGGCAGCGGTGGGGTCTGAGCGAGCTGGGGTTCTGCTGCCTCACCTGTCCCCATTCACTAGCGGTAACTGGCAAGCAGCAGGCAGCGCGTCAGGCTGAGAGAGCCACCGCCAGGTGTGCAACAGAGGAACATGGCTCAAGAAATTCCTTACTGAAAACAAATTCTTTGTCACAATCACCTTCACTAGCTGCACTTGCAGCTTTTAAATCTTTGAAAAGGTTTTAAGCCTCTACTTGCTAAGTAAGAACCATAGGCATTTACCTGTGTTTAACTTACCTACAAGTTTGACATAAAGACATATCTAGGAGTAGATGTTGTTGTAACTCAATTACTGTCAGTATAAATGTGTTTTAAGTATACCTGTGTTTTCCCTCCTTTTATACTAGGACTACCCATCCAGGTTCGTGATGCAGGATTATCTTTTAAGGATGACATGCCAAAGTCAGATGTCAACAAAGAGTACTACACCCAGAATATGGAGAGAGAGGTGTGTTGTCACTTTATTGATGTAGCTTTATATTTGATTCAGGTGTCCTAGTGAATTGTCACAGTCTAATCTTTTGAATTTGTCATTCCTGTGTAGATATCTAATTCTGATGGAACACGGCCAGTTGGTATGCTAGGGAAAGCGACGTCTACTAGTGACATGCTGCTCAAACTGGCCCGGACCACACCCTACTACAAAAGAAATCGGCCTCACATTTGCTCCTTCTGGGTGAAAGGAGAGTGCAAGAGAGGAGAGGAGTGTCCTTACAGGTAAGAGCGGAACCGTGTGTTCAGTGTTTGCTTTCAGGTACTTAGTTGTCCTAGTGGGAGGTATTGCTTTCACTATTTTTGCTTTAAAATCATACAACAAATTTGTTGAATTTCATGTCTTAAAACTATTATATTTAGAAGAGCTTAAGTGACAGTTTCCTTGGCAATAAAGTTACTGTACTGTATATTGTAGATAGTAATCCTAAAGATTTCTCCCTGAAATGTTTGTCTTCACTGTCCTGGTATAAATGACTTGAATCCCAGTGTCAGGATGAGGCAGATCAGTCAAGACTGATAGGCTCCAGACTGTGAATTCATAACATAGGACTTAACACTCACTGACCCTCCAACACACGTACAAATCCTAGATGCCTTTCTGGGTCTCTTGCTTTAATAATACTCTTGGTGAAATGCAAGACCACAAATACATAAAGGATCATTGACCTAAGGAGAGGCGCTGTTTCAAAAGCATTTTTTTTAAACACTGGCACTCTAATGATTGTTTAAATGGCTTAAAGGAGGCTAAGAATAGTATGTTAAAGATCCTATTTTTATAATAACTGTGAGTCCTACTGGCACAATGATTAAGATGCTTGATAACATTAATGTTAATACTTTGAACCTTCCAGCTGCTCCTCAGGAGAAAGCTCTGTCTGCTCCTTTAAACACTGTAGCCTGGGGAGCCCTGTGGGTCAGTTCTCTAGTGTTGCTCCAACTACAAATTGACTGGAATGAGACAGGTTTATATTAACCTTTCTAATAGTGGTTCTGGTTTAATAAGCTAGAAGACACATCAAAATAGACATTTTGGACTTTAATATTGTAGCTGTTATTGAGTGATATTTAATTTTTTCCCCTTTGTCTCGCCTTTATTCATTGTTTTCCCTTGATCCTTAGACATGAGAAGCCCACAGATCCAGATGACCCCCTGGCAGATCAGAATATTAAAGACAGATATTATGGAATCAATGACCCTGTTGCAGATAAACTCCTAAAACGAGCTTCAACAATGCCTCGTCTGGACCCCCCAGAGGACAAAACTATCACCACGTTATATGTTGGCGGTTTAGGTGATACCATTACTGAGACAGACCTAAGGTGTGTAAGTGTAATTTTTATGAGTTTTTTTTCATTTTTAAAGATCCTGGAATTATTTATTAACAGACATACAGGCAAGTGTGATCATTTTGTACGGAGTATATTTTTCTTTAACTACTCTTATTGTTAGTATCATAGTGACTGGAATTTTTATGAAATTGTTCTATCTGAGAGTAAGTTCATCAATAGTGCTTTCTCCATCACTGCAGTGGTAATGATTTTAGGGTTCTGTTTAGCCCAATACCTATTAGAATTTTTCAAGGATGGCACATTCTGAACATGGTTAGTTATTCAGGGGAGGGAGAAGGGAAGCTTTGAGATTATAAAACTCAGCTTAAATGTTTGTCTTTTTAAAGGTGACTGGTGTTGGTGAATTTGTATTTTGTTTGGCTAGATGAGACATCTGGGCAGTAGTGATGGAAAGGAGATAAAGTTCTTTAAACTTGTAACATGCACTTGGTATCCTGTCACCATAATAAAACCCTTAAGCAAGAGAGATAATGTCCATGAAGTCTGTAGCCTTTTCTTTAATAGGCCGAATAGCAAATGTTTGAGGCTTATGGGCCATATGTAATTTGTCATGTATTCTTTATCTTTTATGTTTTGCAACCCATTAAAAATTAACATTTTTGGCTAGTGGACCATAGTTTGCCATCCACTGACAATAAGCCTAAGACTTAGGGTCCTCCGGGAACCAAATGGAACCGCTTTTCCTGTAAGAAATACCCTGAACTGTTTGACAGCCTCTATTTACTTCAATATTTTTCTTTTCCTCTCTAAGTAGGCAGCACTAGCTTAGGGTAATGTACTCAGCCTGGTAACTCTAGGGCCCGCCTTCCTGGTGGTGACTCAGTGATAAAAGAGTATGCTCCATTTAGAACTTCCCACTAATGTCTCTGAGGTGTTGACACTCGTTTTTCTCTGGTTGCATCCATTCAGGAACCATTTCTATCAGTTTGGAGAGATCCGAACAATCACAGTTGTACAGAGACAGCAGTGTGCTTTCATTCAGTTTGCCACAAGGCAAGCTGCAGAAGTGGCTGCGGAGAAGTCCTTCAATAAGTTGATTGTTAATGGTCGAAGACTCAACGTGAAATGGGGAAGGTGAGATGTCAGCAATCTTAAAATAACAGTATTCAGATTTTCAAGAAAATTTCATTATCTGGGGACTCATAAGCTTTTGGCAAATGGACTTAAAAGAATAGGCTCTTTAGCAATACTTTCTTTTTAATTCTTTGTTTCATACTTTATTCCTATGAAATGCTTTGAATATTTGTGCAGAGTCTTGGTGTAGTAATCTCCTTTAAAGATTTATATTTTAGGTAACCAGCTATTACAGGCCAAATACTGTGCCAGGAAATGCAAATAGGTTTGAGTGCTTATAAATTAGTGACAACTAGATTCTACTCCTTAGCTGTTGATTGGCTAATGGATATACCAAGATAGAGGATAACTAATTTGTTTGAAAGTGATGGTTACATAAAGGAGACATGGATAAAAATACTTTGAAAGTTCAAAGGGAAAATGAGTTTCTTCTACCTTGGAACCTGGGAGGAGAATACTGACAATTAGCAGCTCCCCTTTCGGGGTGGTTTTTATGGGCTGAGTGTGGTGCCAAAAATATCTATGCTGCCTTTTCTAGTTCTTTTAACAATTCTAGCAAGTAAATTGGAACTCTAGTGTAGTTTATTTACAAAATTCTAATACATTGATTTAGAGAACAGGTCTTTCTGACTTTTCTCTTTGTTCACTGCTCTGTGGCATTTGTGGGGAATGACTGTTCGGTGAAGAGTAAGCAAAAATTGAATGAACCTCATTTGAGTACAGAACATGAGAAGCAGAGGTGTGAGATAGTGGATGTAAGTACTGATGGCATGTCTTTCTGTCTCCCAGATCCCAAGCAGCCAGAGGAAAAGAAAAAGAGAAGGATGGAACCACGGACTCTGGGATCAAACTGGAGCCAGTTCCAGGATTGCCAGGAGGTGAGTGCAGATATCCTTCTTCCCAAGAGCTTGCTGACTTTAGGAGCTCTGTCCACCCTGAATCCTCTGTTAGATGAAGTGATGAACCTCCCCCTACAGCAGCTGAAGTCTTCCAGCAGGATCTCGGGAGGGGGTTCTAAGAGTGAATGGAACACTAGACGGCACCTAACAACAACCCATGCCTATTTTCTCTCCTCCAGCTCTTCCTCCTCCTCCTGCAGCTGAAGAAGAAGCCTCTGCCAATTACTTCAACCTGCCCCCAAGTGGACCTCCAGCAGTGGTCAATATCGCCCTTCCTCCACCCCCAGGCATTGCCCCACCTCCACCCCCAGGTAACATCCATCTCCACTCTTAGTGAAAATGTCCAACCACCTTAGCCCAGAGAAATCCTTATGAAAATCCCACCTTAACATCTCACATCAAGTCCAAGGCATTTGTAAATAAACCTGTTAGAGTTACTGGTACTCCCCCCCGCCCCCCAGATTTCTAAAATCCATATATATGCATAATTGGAGCAGGAGTTATTGGCCTGCAGGAATCTATCACTAATTTATGCCCTAGAATACTTCTACTCAGTGTGGACAGTAAACATGACATTTCACCTTCTTCAAGAAAGTCTTATTACAAAAAACTGTCAGACAAATCAAACAGCATTTGAGTTTTGACTTAAGTTCTTTCTCTTGTTGATGACCAGAAATGAACCTTTAAAACAATTCAGAACTGGCACTTTCTGTAGCCCAGCCTTAAAGAATGCCAGTGGTAGAGTAAACCTTGTCAGTCGGTCGTGAGTGGCAAGTTCTTCTGTAACTGCATTCTCATACTCCCTGGAGAACACCCTGGTGTTAATGATTCCCTCTCTTGCCATCAGGATTTCTTCCTTAACTCTCGAATTCTAGTTGAATTCTGCTTTAGCCTGGTGGGATCGGACATGGCTGGTTCATAGCAGAGTTCAAATAAGATATTAGAAAGTACCTTGAGACTTGTGGAGTGTTGTTTCTTTCTAACTTGGACTTGGGGGAAAGGTCTTCAAAATTGAGGGGGAAAACACGTGTAGACAGTCCAGAACGAGTCTTATGAATTGCTATTTTCTTAAGCCCCTGTCAGTTTGCTTTATGTGAAGCTGGGCTGGAACTTGGGAAGATTTGATGCATCACATATGGTCAAGAGAACTGCAAGCCTCATAAATTTGTTCTCTCTCATCTGCAGGTTTTGGGCCACATATGTTTCATCCAATGGGACCACCGCCTCCTTTCATGAGGGCTCCAGGACCAATCCACTACCCTTCTCAAGACCCTCAGAGGATGGGTGCTCATGCTGGGAAGCACAGCAGTCCCTAGCACATCATTGCCACTTAGGAGCTCTGTGAAGAAAGGG